AAGAAATATGAAGAATCTACATGTACTGTACGTACGTAAGCAATTTATTTTAACTAATATAATTTTATTTTTTTTTTTAACTGTCCGACTTCAGACAACTTGTAAAAAATTATTTTAACTAATCTCGATATGCCAATTTTTTTATTTTTTACTATCGACTTATTTGAAATTTTTATCTTTTCAGTCTTTGCAAACTAATAAAATTGTTTATTTATTAAATTTAATAGCATTTAAATTTCGGATATTTATTTATTTATTTATTTATTTATTTCTTTATATATATTTTTTCTTAACCTTTCGATTTTTCTTTTTTTTTTTTTTTTTGTAAGGATTTACAGATTTGTTAATTTTCAAATTTTTTTCTTTTCTTTTTCTATTTTTAGGATTTTATCGCATTCGGGCTGCTGCGTAATGTAGGTTTTTATTTAACTTTATTTTATTTTTCGATTTTATTTTGTTTTTCACTTTCTATTTTTAAATTTATATCGTAATTAAGTTTTGTTTATTTTCATTTTATAATTTTTTTTTATTGTTGAATTGATTGAATGTAAGTTTACTTTTTTTATTTTTTATTTATTTCATTCAGTTTTCGATCACATTGGATGCTGCGTCATTTATATAAGTAAGTTCTTTTTTTTTTTTCGTTTTATTTTATTTTTCTAAAAATTATTATTTTTGTAGATAATGGATCAGATTCTAATTGATCAACCCGAAGTTCATTAGATTTCAGTCATAACAAATTATTTATTTATTTTTTGAATACCCTGTGAAATTGTGAAAATTGGCGATAAAATATTTAGTCATGATCCATATCTAAGGAAATTACATTATAGAGAAAGATAATAAAACACAAGTACTGTATCTCTCTTATCTTTAGATTACAAGCGTCATTTTATTTCTACGAAGTTATATTAAAATAATTTTTGATTTACAACTTCTAGATTATTATATTCCAAAATAAAGCACTATCATAAATGAATTAAAAAAGGATTTATCCGTTCTTTTGTATTTTGTTTTAACAATTTGGAAACAAGTTTGCTCCTAATGAAAGAAGTGTATGCGTCTGGATTTTATTTTAATAAATATGGTATGCATACCAAGAACTATTTAAAATTTATAGCTGAAAATTTTTCTTGTTGAGATCTATCTGATTATTTCCATTAAATATAACTTTGAAAATGAAATTACAAAAAAAAAATTACACCAATAACACCGAGCCTCGTAACATATAATTTTATCGTAGAATTTTGTCAACATTTTTTTTATGCGTAAATAGCATTTTCCCAATATGCAAACCTTCCAATAGAAAGAAAAAGTTTCAAATATATTGACTTTTTTTCTATGTCGACAAGCATAGAAACGATTTTGTCCAATTTTTATTTTATATTGTTTTAGACAATAAATTTTATTTCAATATATTTATTTTCTGATATTCCGCGCTTACATAGATAATTATACAACTAATGTGACTGCTGCGAGCTACGTGTGAACGTACACATGTATTCAATTAATTTGTAATCTAATGAAACTGCGGTGAAGGAGACGTTGCGGCGATTTTAATAAATCAAAATAAAAAAAAATCCAACTTTCATCACATACTTTATAGCATTCCGGCACTTTTGTTTCTTAAAACACAACTTATATAATGTTTATGTTTATATGTACAGTTGTTTCCTATTTTACATATATGTGGATTATGAAACCACTCGGTGGATACGGAATGTGGTCGATATCCAGTATACAAATACAAAATGCAATTTGATGAAATTGCTGAACTCTCTTAGTTACGTCGTCATTCTGTATGTTAGATCGGAGAATTGACCATTTCCGTCTAATTAGTTAATCTGAACCTTAATCATTTGTCTCTCTTAGGGCAGTGAGGCTGTAATACTGAAGGACTCAATTTTTATATAATTCTGTTCCTTTTTCTTCGTTAATTTATCGTTTGAAATTATAATCGACGACATTCGCCTCGTCTATTAAAGATTTTAGGAGGTACATAATTGTAAGTTTTACGATAGGCACAATAATTTGATTACTTGTTCATATTTCATCGCTAATGTTCAAAATTCCTTACTTACAACATTCCATAATCTCTAAAGTCCTAGAATTGAGAATGCGCCTATGTGACCGGACCGGTTATTTCACGGACTCATTTCTACTGTAAAAACGAAATTTCTGTGGAATTCCAATGATATTGTAGAAAGGTAATCTTCATCCTAAAATATGGAAAGCGAAAATTTACAAATCATTTTAGAGTAGCGTTTCATGTGTTACATCTCAATTTTGTATTAAAAGGTAAGGTAAGATATATGAAGACAAAAAGCAACAATTTACAATTATGTTTTATTAAGAAATAAAGAAATACAAAAGAAATGTCCAACATCCACTATTACTGCATCATTCGGCGCTCTGAAGAAGATTATAAATTCTCTAAAATTATCCTGAATTCTTATCTAAAACAAAGGCGAAAACGAAGGCTATTATACAAACTAATTCGTATAATGATCGATGGCTTAAAGCTTGTAATTCGGATAAATTAATTAAAGACATAATGACCTACTCGTATGATATGACATTTCGATCAGAAATTCCAGAAAGTACAGAATTGACACATTCTTTAATAAATAAACATTCAAGAATTCTTTTTTCAGTTTAAAAAAATGCAATTTTTTTGTTGGAAAATTTCAGAAAAAAATATTTTTATTTAAACTGTGCACTCGCAAAAAAATTTTTTTTCAGTTTATTATAATTCAAAGTAACTTGTATTCATGCTTAGTATTTCATAATCACCTAGTTTTCCGTACATAATAACATGATCATATTTTTAAATCAATTAGCAATTTCTGTTTTCAGGTTAATACCCAAGGTAAAATATCATTATCGTTTATCGCACAATTACGTTTTTCACAGAACTATAGTTTGCTTCTTAATCAAAATTAAATTATTTAACATACTATAATAAAGGACAAAAGGTGAAGGTTTAACACGGGAAGTTAGAGAACGCGATAACGAAAATCAAGTATCCGCGCCCACTGGTAAGTCATATTTTCCCTGTATAATTTAATAAATCGTAACAAATACATATATTTATTGTGCCTTATAACAATTAGAGTTCAAAGAAAACGGAAAGCCACGGAAGAGGTAAGATTTGTGACCAGGCAAGACAGTATCAACATTCTTACTAATCTTTATCATTATCAGTCAAAACGAATTGGTGTCTCGTTAATGGAAATCCTCTTGCGGATTCCTTTTTTGTCGACTTTTTAAATAGCAGGACCATTGGGCATCTTAAAGATGCCATTATAAAAAAACATTAACTCTAGTGTCTTTGATGATCAAATTCATGAGTTTAACTTATCGTTCAGCCCAATATCTGTTTCTACTGATATTGCTGATGAGGGTATGAAGATGCGAAATACTGAGTTCAGATGGAGGTGTGCTTTATTTTGATAAAGTCACGCATTTATCTTAATATCTATCTATTCTTCGTGTATACCGTTAACTTTTCACAAGTGTTCTTTTTGTCCGCCCATAATTATAGCTATCGCGGGACCTTGGATTTGCATTCTTGGAGCTGTGTATCTCGAAAAACCTGTTATAGGACCGCTCACTGATTTTATTCTCATGATGAATATGATGAAAGGGTGGAAAAGCTTGCTACATTTTTTGAAGCTTTATGACTTGCATATCAAACCCTAGACAAAAATTTAGGCGAACTTGATGAGGTTGGGATAAAAAATAAGTGCAAAGATTTTATCCTTATCACAATCAATATCAAATCAATGAAAGCGTCGTTAAGTTTGTGTATCTTTACAAGCTTACCCTTGGATGGCAGTAACTGACGAAGGAAAAATACATTATTGTCAAGTTTACAAAGAAATCTAACCACATCTTCTGGATGAAATCCTTTATGCTGATAATGAACCTTTCCAATTCCGACGGATGGTTATTTTAGAGTTGATCATCATACCAGGTATGAAAATTTTGATAGTTTGTTTTTAAATTCTTGTAGTGAAGATTATAATTTTTAATAATAATTTAATAGAGATGCGAATAAATTGGAAAATTGTACCTCTGGACTGTCGTGGATCAGTCAATCGTACATTGCAATGAATTTGATTTTTTGTAACTATTTTGATTAAAAAGGATGTTTGTGTAATTTCATGTGGATTTTAATAATTTCTATCATATATTTGCAATCTCATTCTAGTACTTCAAAGAATTATGTTTTGTATGATAGAAATAAATTTAACAGTGATCACTCGTATACAATTGAAGTGAATATTGAGGAGAATATTTAAACTACTCTTTACACACAACTTGTTTTGGTTTGTAAATTATTTCAGTATTTTGAATAAAGTGAAGTTTTTAAATATATATTATTAACAATTTCAAATTCTAGGTGAACGTCGAATTCGGGTATTTACGCTTGCGTTACCGGTCGGTAACCAATAGCATTAGTAATTTCGCTGACCAAGTTGCGATAACCATATTATTATCAGCAAATAAAGGTGTGCCAAGAAATATTTAATAAATTCATTTGAAAATTAATATTAGTATTAATCATGAATATTATGGTTTTTCAAATTAGCAGTTAACGATCTCCATCTTTAAAACTGAAAGATGCTCGAGAAGCAATAATCAATAAGATGATTGATATGTACAAGTATATGTTCCCAATCTGAAGCTTCACTTTAATTACAAATTTGTAATATCCTTAAATTATTAAACTTGAACTGCTAGAGCATTTATATATTTGTACATATGCTTGAAATAATAATTGTAACAATTAAAAAAAGAAATAGATAGATAAATTGATAGGTTGATCTTTGTATAAGTTCACAGATTTGCGTTCATAACATAGCCTTCCTGTTAATTTCTTATTTACATCCACGATTTTATACATTCATAAGTAGTAAGTGGTATTTTATATTTTAAAGTTTATATAATGTATAGTGAATTAATCCAATAATCTCAATTTTTTTGTTAAGTCTGGAACGTATGGATCTGAGAATATAATGATGCCTAAGCTGCTTAATCTGAGTGGTGAAAAAATTAGATCAGCAAGGTGTGCTTACAAACATTCACGACAATTGTAAACAAATGACTATTATGTTTGAATTTAATAAAAGTTACTCTAACACAGCTTGATAATATATTTTCACAATGGAGGAATGAATAATAGGTAAAACTAGGGACATGGATGTGGTGTTACGTTTATATAAGATGATGATGATCCATCATTACAGTTGTGGTTTCATCATATTATTGAAGACCGCACATTGAAAGATAAGGTAAATCAGTTTTTTGAGGTTAATTTTTGCTTATTAATTATTTAAAGTATTAACATACCCCCTTTTTTTTTAAAAAAAAAAGTTAACTCTGGTTTATTTTAATTATTTTAATTTAAATCAACTAGAATTATTTTATTAAAAATGGTGCGATAATTGGATGATTATATTATTAAATTGTGAACATTAAATACATAATGTTTAGAACAATTTTAATCAATCAAGCTATTTGAAAAAATATTTTAAATTAATTAGGGTTAATGTAGATAAGTTGTGTGATATTTAAAAAAAAATAATTCAGATTAATATAATTGTTAATTTTTACTGGATAACTTATAAGTTTATTAAAATCAAACTTTAGTATTCTTTAAATTAAATAAAGAAAACATTGGTAATATTTTAAAGAAAAAAAAAATCAAATTTAAAAAAAAAAAATAATAAATTTTTCTTTTAACTAATTATTTTAAAAATCAAAGAAAATAAAAAATAATCTTAGTAATATTTTTGAATTAAAATTTCTAATATCAAAATTAAATTTTCAAAAATTAAATAATAATAATTCAATTTCATATTAACTAAATGAATATTATATAAAAATTAGCACAATTCGCTAATTTTTTAAATATTTTTTAATTTATTTAACAG